CACGAAACTGGTACCAGTACTTTTCGTACGTGAAATACCGTACCTGGTACCGGTAATGCCTGCACCATGTGATATTCGCAGTGTTGAAGTCTCCCAAAAAGAAAGTGTACCGCTCCTCTGTGTGCCCAAAGGATTTGGTGTGCTTTAACATCGTTTGAACTCCGCAGTACCGGTACCACCATTCTTTCCAACAACCACACAACAACAGTACGGTAGCTTGATCCACTAACAATGGCCACCAAAGCGGCTCGATTCCAAAAAAATAACAGTACCGCTGGAAGCTCTGACAAGGAACGAGCTCCTGCTGGCTCTGCCGCCCACGAACCGGACATCGCGGCTGGACAATTGCGAATCCGAAAGTGCATGTCACTTCCGTACGAGCAAGAGTACAAGTCCATCTTGAAATGCAAGACTGTAGATGAGAGCTTGCACAGCGTAGCGCGGTCAGAACCAGCCGACATAGGAAGATCCGATAAGGGCATTACCTTTGGCAACATTGGAGTCCGCGAATATTCTCGGACGTTGGGTGACAATCCTTCTTGCAGTAGCGGTCCACCAGTCAGGTATGTCCATGAGTCTTGTTATATATATATATATATATATATATCATGACATGATATATGATGATAGATAGGATACGGTTGCTTCGACGTTTGCCTTGCTAACACTGTACATCCACCATGTTGTTTTCATCACATTCCACCAACATCAACACCAACAGCATATCTTGGGACTACAAGCCGCTGCGGGAAATGTCTGTGGAAGCCTATGAGGAAAGCAGACCTTCCAGACGAAGCCAAATGGAAATGGTGCTACCAAGGAAGCTAAGGTCCGAAATGCTAAAGAAGGACTGGGCTATCAGCCAACGCCAGATTGCGGAAGCAGTCCGTCGCAATGTCAAGATCAAGAACCAAAGAAGGACCACTGTAAACAACCTTGGAAAGGCAAGCAGTTTCGAAGTTACCTTTGAAAAACTTACCAGGAAAATCAAACGAACACTTATGTTTCAAAAGTCGGTATCGAAACAGTGCAAGGAACTAGAAATGAAGCACAACGAAGCCCAGCGACTGCGAAAGCAGCAAATGCTGGAAGCTCAAATGGCAGATGAATATGAAACGGAGGCCCGCTCTGTGGTCTCCAAGGAAGCCAAGGATTCCGTCGTAGAAGAAAAATCTGGAGTTTCCGTGGATAGTCCAATGCAAGAGCCTGAAGAAGAAAGTGCTACCGAAGATATCTAGATATAGATATCTAGATATCTATCTAGAAGCTTTCATGTTGATTGCTTCGACATTTTTCCGTTTCGATAATATCCCTTTTTGGTGACTTCCAGCTTTAGTCACAAGATTTTGAACATTTTGTATGTTTCATGGGTGAATACAGATTCAGTTCCCCATCTTTGTGAACTTTCTCTCTTGATGCTGTTGAGGATAACATCGATCATCTTTGTTTGTTGTTGTTCGAGACTTCAAGGACCAAGTTCGTTTTTAAAATTAAAAAAATGCCTAGACAATAATAATGAATATTACATTTCCTACTGCTAGGTACAGGTTATTGCGGTAGCTTAGATTGCAGAAGGGTGCCAAATCATGGCTGATGCTTCTAGACCTCATGTACTATTACGACTATCGACATTGTTTTGTGTGAATGAATGATACCCTACCGGTACCTGGTGCCGCAACCAACAGCATACCGCCGGTATGCCTGATGCTCTCCAACAAACTTCGCCTTTTCCAGTGGGAAGATCATCGGGTTAGGACACAACCCCGGTTCTCTGACGTTCGCGTCTTTAACTAAAAGAATTGCTTTTTGTCCTGATGAAAGTCCGATCGATCAAACAATTAACACTTATGCCAAACATTAATGAGAATGTGCCTCCGCCCAAAAAAACGACGGCGAAAGACCTACAGGTACCTAAAACCACCTCCTTGATTGTGGAATGCACTTTCGAAAGACGTCATTACGAGTATAGTATTGGCGGAAAAGGAGAACGATAGAAGGAAAGCAAGAGATCTACAGCAATCGTAGTCCATTTGTTTGTGGGCGAGGTCAAAATGTCGCATTCGCAGGAGGAATCAAAATCAAGTGGTGAAAGGACTCCAAATCATCATTCGGACCGAGCTACGATGAATTCAGGAAGCAAATCCAAAGGCGCCTCGTCAGCAGGCATCCAAATCAGTGTTGCGAGGAGTGCGCCGTCAAAAGAGTCGACAAAGACAGGGCCAAAAAGAAAATCAGTACGATTCACTGATATTCAAATCCGAGATTACGAGAGAACTGTCGGAGATAATCCCAGTTGTAGTTCTGGACCGCCTATCTGGTAAGAAAGATTCGTGTAATGAATCTGGTAGTTCTTCTTCCAAGGTCGTTTGAGTGCTAACCATTGTTTCCTTTTTTGCAATATAATAGTATCGGATGGGCACATGGACAGACACGGTTTGTAAACATTGATAGCTATGAGCATTCAAGATCGGCTCGAAGGACACAGAGAAAGTTGGTACTGAATCGACAAAACAGAGAAGCGCTTCTTGCATATTGGGCTGTTCCCGTCAATGAAATTGTGGAAGCGATCCGAGGGAATGTGAGAGTAAAAAATCAACGGCGGCAGACGGTAACCAATCTTGGAAAGGTTGAAAAGCTAGAAGAGGCATTTGAGAGTGCCGCGCGAAAATTGAAGAAGACTTTGTTGAAACGTAGAAAAGGAGGGAAACTAAAGGGATACCCAGTTCATTCACGTATAGCTCCAACGCCTGCTATGGGTGCCATGAAACTACGCAATGGAGAGCACTTGCGAGACTTTCATGCAATATCTCCTGCGGAGAGAGCTACGGCCGGTCAGGAAACTAGCGAAGTTAAAGATGGAACCGAATATTGGGGCGAAGATGCTGATCAGCATGGTGCTGGAAAACCCCCTGAAATTGTGTATGAAAATGACGACACCGGATCATCGCTGAGTGGGTTCACAATTGGAAATAGTACGACGGCATCAATCATGGAAATCGAAAGATTCTATCGCGAATTGGAAATGGAAATGTTTGGAGATCTTGACGAACCACCATCGATGGTTGGGCAGACGTTAGAAGTCCCCGGAGTTAACATTCCTGATGATCAAATGTACGGAGAGGATACTATGGAAGCTTCGGATCGAAGTGACCTCAGTATTGGAACTGCAGGGAAACATCGTAACACTTCAGCTGACGAAGTATTGAAAAACCATAGAGGTGAAGGTCGAGTGTTTGCTCGTCATGCAAGCGAAATAACCATGGACGATGATCTTGGACTTCAAGAATCATCGTCGGTTTCTAGACAAAGAAACCACGGGACGCGGATTCCACAATACTTTCATGACAACTACGAAGAATCGCCTCATCCAGCCATGTACGGGGAGACTTCGTACGATGATTATTCTCGTTTGAGCCGGACAGTTGAATCCCTGGATTTGAACCATTCTCCCAATACGAGGAATATGGGTGGTACAATTGAAATGCCCATACACTACCAATATCCAGCCCCTACCATGCGGGCGCCCGAACATTTTCATAGAAATCAGCACCGCCGATCATTGTCGGACAGGAGAGTGCAGTCATTACGTGATGGTCCTGAAATACGATACATGCCACTCCAAGCACATATATCTCCGTCGCAGTTCATGGGAGAAGGTATTCCTGGACAGTTCAGTCGAAATGTGCACGAACCTGTGACGATATGTGAAGATACGGATGGAGAGGATCAACTCCTCTTGTTTGGAGCTGGACAATCAAATCGTGGCCAACAATATTTCAATCACTTTCCGCCGGAGCCGCAATTCCAAGATCTAAATGGCCCTCCCCAGACCTACTATAGATAAAGAATAATAGTCTAGTCAGTACATTTCTGGCATATTCACAAGATTGACTATGGTGTGTTATGAGTTATAATGAGTTATAAGTTATTATATTAATACAGTGAGTTGTTGATTATGGCTTGAATTCTAGGTGTAGCGTCTGTCCGTAGTGAGCGGGACTCAGTCGTGAACGCCTTTCTTTTCCACCCAATCGAAAAATCAAAACCAACTACGAAAAATCGATTTGGACGATGGGTGGTGACGATCTCGGAAGCGAAGATGAATTCTTGACGGCTCCCCTAAGAGCAGAGGATGCGTCGGATGATGATACCTCGTTGAGTGATGATTCTAGTGCAGAATCAAACAATCAGGCTTCCAAGCGCAGTCTGGTAGAAACCAAAGAAACAGGAGCAACGCCGTCCAAAAAGCAGAAACGAGAGGCCCGCGCTCTTGGTGACGGTGTTCGGGACAAATCAGCAAATGAGCAAGCCATAGAGCTGGCGAAATTTGCAGGAATGAAAGTCCATGCTGGTCAGATTGCAATATCCGACAATCGGAATTCTCCTTCGCTCATGAAGAGAATCCAAGGTATCATTTCCAAAAAGAAACTAAAGAAACACAACAAGAAAGGGTCTCCACTGGTTGTAGTTATCAGTATATCTGCACGACGTGCAGTTGCTGTGCTGAAAGAGTTATCGCCATTTAATGTCCGAGTGGCGAAGCTATTCCCGAAGCAAGGCAGTATTGAAGAACAAGCAACCCAGATGCAATCGGGAAGCATGGCCATGGCCGTGTGTACTCCACACAGACTGCTGGCGTTGGTAAAGGAGGGAGCTATGGGCTTCGGTGCTACCGAATTGCTCGTAATCGATACATTCGCAGATAAGAAACGGTTCACAGTAGCGTCGCTTCCTGACACTGCACCAAGCTTGGCTGAGCTACTGAAAGAGGCAATGAAGGAAGAACGCAAGAACCAAAGGCCACTTCGAGTTGCTTTGCTGTAAACTTTGTAATGAAACTTTGATTATAATAACCATTCCAATCGCAAGTAGCACTAAGCACAACTGTAGTTCGGTCAGTATCAATATTCCAGCGAGATTCTTCCAGTTGTTGTCAAATCTTTTTGAATCCACCTAGTCAAACTACACTAACTTGGTGCCTGCGCGTTGACGTCGATCCGTCGTCATGATCAACATCCTTCCTCGTGTCTCTTTTATATTCCGTAGTTCATAATCACCGTGGTGGGACTGCTATCAACCCCCACGTCCGCGCTGTAGCTTCAAGAGCAACAGAAGAAATTAGAGAATAGAACAGTGGTGTGGCAGGAGCATCAAGGCTTTTTTCGTCAAACAGCGAACTCCAACACACAAAAACTGAATTGATTTTGAAAATCGCCATCCTCCGCATTGCTGTTTTCCAAGCAGATCAAAGTACACAATCTTTAGAGTGAATAATTATGGCTCCAATATTTACAGCTGCTACGGGAGTGGTTCCTCAAATAGTCGACGATGAAAGACTCCTACAATTGCAATCACAACTAGAAGGACTTGAACTCCTTGTACCCTTGCAACGGCGTTATTCAAACCCCGAAGAAGTTGAATTGCCGCTCGATATTGGCCGCTTGATATCGCTACTTGAGCCATGGCAACGCTGGACGTTTGAAGAACAGGTTAGTATACAAGCATGCGGTTGTTTTACGCACGATAAATTCAATGATAGCTGACAAGAAAAGTCACGCCGACACTTTTTTTTTCCCCTTTGCAGATTGACCTCCAAGAATGGATCCAGCCTCTTAACAGAATCGATGCCTGCATATCCTACTATATTCAAAAGTACCCAAATATATTGCTGATAGGACCGGTGAAGAGAACGAAATCACAAGGTGCTGCCAGCACCGAAGATCAGCCAATATCAAAGCCTGCCGAAACCATCCACGATGTTCAGTCCGTTCCTGCAGAAGTCTACAAGAACATGAGCATTCTTCTTCGTTTCCTATCAGGAATGCTTCTTAATGCATCGAGCAAAAACATCTTCAACTCGGTTGAGGAACTAGTCGACTTGCTTGCTGCTGCAAACGATGAGATTGCATCACTGGCCTTGGAAGTAATTTGCAATGTGGCAATAGCTCCTTCTCTGCATCGACAGCAAGCACCAGAACTCCAACAACACACTTCAGCACTTCACAATTCCAAAACTGAATCACACAGACGCCTCGTTGCTTTGGCAAGAGGTTGGGGTAGCCGTGGATCTGGAATGGGTCTTTACACCTGCGTGACTGCCGACGATTCGGAGTTTGGCCAAGGCGCCTTGCCACAAGAAGCGGGGGAACTCAACTTCGCCTTCTTTCAGGCAAGTGATGATCAGGCAATGGAAACAAACGAGGTCGACGCCGATGCAAATGTTACGGTAGACGAAGAGTCTCAAATGGTCACAATCTCTCTCGACTCGTCTCAGTTCCTTGTAGATGGGGAAGATGCAGTGGAGCCAATGAAGACAAATGAAAGCATCGACGAAGCAAGCAAGCAAAAGAGACGAAGGGTCGTTGCGCTACCAGTTGGGGAAAGCAAGCTCCGCTCGTCGGCAGAACTATTCTTCACATGTCTAGAAAAGACTGGTGGCAGAGATAAGATTCCTCCAGAAAGGATTTTTGGTTTATTGGCCACTATTCGTCTCAGCAGATCATTCCACTGTCGGTCTACCCGGGTCGCTGCTGTAGAACGCCGACTACGTGCTCTCATTGTCATCCTGAACGCACATCCTTCGCCAGAAGTGCTTATAGGTTACTTTCAAGCGCAACCAGAGCTTTGTGTTGAATTGGTAGATCTACTTCGACCAACAGTATCTTCTGCAGCAGTATCTGCTGCTTCTGCAAGACTGAATTCGAATGAAGCGTCACCTAGCCATCGGGATGCCATTGCTGTGTTGGCAAACAATCAAGGCGTTACATTCGGTGTTCGAAAGCTTGCCGTCGAGGCGTTGACTGCTTTGGTGTCACGACGAGATGGGACTGGCGGAGAGCTCAATGGTGTCGCAAGGCACTCAAATGTATTGAATGAGCTAGGCGTGGGCAAAGGGCAGTATTTGGGGCTATTTCCAACTCTTATTCGCTTTTCATTGGCTTCGTTCGCGGCCTTTCTTTCTGCTGGAAACGAGAGAGAAACCGAATTAAAATCAGATTCACTTCCACAAAACAGCGCTGATGATGCTATGTCTTTTGAGATTGGATTGGCCTTTGTGGAAGCGACCAAACCTCCACAAATACCAAGGGAAGAGCAGTTTGAGAGAGCATTGGAATTTATCGAGTCAGTCTTGACACTAGCCACTGCGGTCGTGTCTACACCTTCAGGAACGGCTGCACTGACTGATTGTGGTCTAATTCCAGCTCTGTTGAATACTGTGTCTTTAGAAAGTGAAGAAGTAGACTCCGGGTCTTCGATCACTTTTGGCTTTCGCGTGGAGACATTGCGACGGTTTGTGACAGCACAGGCTGTACAAATTTTGGAAGGAGCCATCGTGACTCATAGCAATGCGCTATCTGCGTTTCACAATCTAAATGGTGTTGAAGTTCTCACAGCTAGGCTGGTGAAGGAAATTGGCCATTTTCAGCGGAGCAGAGAAGCCACAGAAGCTCGATCGACGTTTGATATGGATTGCGACAAAGACGGAAAACAAGATGCCACAAAACGGAATACAGACGAGCATGGGAGATTACAGTCGTCTCGTCGAGTTCTCCTTTTTGGTATTGTAACCTGCTTGACCGTTGTGTTCCACCAGGAGTCTACTTCATCTTCTGCTACTGCACCATCAGGAGCTACAGAACTGCGCAATCCTGAAATGACATCTGCGATAACTGAAATCATCGAAAATGCAGAAATCTACGGTGGAAGCCTAGTCTCTTTGATCGCAACTCTCTTGTCGGATGTGATGAATAGCGATCCTCATGTCGTTCGCCACATTCACAAAAGTGGACTTGCCAAGTCGTTCATCGAGATGTTGGTTGAAACTCGCGACGGCGTTCCAATCTTGCCCGCTGTTCCGGAGTTGATAATGGCTATTCCAAATGTCCTATCCGCTCTCGCTTTGACAGAAGACAGTGCACAGGCCGTGAAGGAAGCGAATCCATTTCCAGCTTTACTTCGAATTTTCCACCACCCGAAGTACGCAATGCCACAAAGCCGCTGTTTGTTGAACGAAATGACCGCCATCGTTGGAACAGGCTTGGACGAAATTATGCGTCACGTGAACAGTCTCCGCCCTCTCGTATGCGATGCTATTGTTGAAGCGATGAATAAGGTTTCAGCGTTTGGAGATAAATTATTGCTCGAAGAAGAGAAGTTGCAAGGCAGCACATCGCAGGAGGACGCTGTAAAAACTGCAAGCCTGGAAAACCAAAGATCATGTTTGATGCAATACGTTCTCAACTTCGGTCAAATTTTGGAGCAAGTTCTGCACACCGAGGATCATTGCGACCCTTTCATTTCTGCAGGAGGCTTGGAGGCGCTACTAAAACTATATCCCTATATGATGCCAAGTGGAACTGAATTCTTATCGCACATCAGTTGCTTAAGCTGTCCCTCTGTAAGCACTCTGACTCACTCAACAACAGAAGACTCGCTGTTGCTCGCTTTCAAATGCATAGCCTTGAGGCACGATTCATTCAAGCTCCTTCAAGCAATGATCAATCATGTGAGCGAACACGTTAAATTATTGGAGAAATATCAATTGGAGGTACGCAAAGTTTTTGTGCACCAAGACCATCAAAGTGAAGACGGTCTCGATGCGTCACATGTGCTTGATGCGCTACCCACAAAGCCCATCTACAAGATTTCTGGCTCAGAATTCCGCAGTGACGCAAGGATCTTGTCGCTGTTCCTTCGTCAAGTCGTTGTTGTCCAATTCATGACAGGTTTAATGTCCAATGTTATCAAAGCCTCCTGCCAACGCAGCCATGAAAATGGGCCAGGGTGGATTGGAACAGAAAAGGAATGGAAAAAGGAGTTGTCATCGACAGCTTTCGAAGAGCTCGTGGTGAAACTTTCCAGCTTCTGCCAGTCTGCAATATTTGAAGTATGTCGAATCCGCACGCAAGAGAGCTTTGAGGAACGCGAAGTGCTTCGCTTATCAAAAACGCAAGCTCGCGCTTTGCGGTATCGACTGCGCATCGTTTGCCCCGAGGGGGCTGTTGTTCGAGATGGAATAGAAATCGATTCCTGCGCTAGCGTGGGTAGTATGGAGATGGGAGAGATCATAGATGCCTATGATCGTTGCGTCAATTCATCTGGTGTGCTGCGATATAGAACTCAACGGGGATGGTTTTCTGAGCAGACAAGAGGTCATGGTCGTGAGCCGATTGCTGAAGTTTTGAAAGTGTGGGAGGTTAGTAATGACATTCATTTAGATGCCGTTCATGATCGCGATGCAAAGGGCAGAGTCGAAGCAGGCGTCCCTGATCTTCGCAGTACTGGAGCAAACATTTTGGCCAGGGTCCAGAACAGCTACGTGGATTTATTTTCGGCGTTAACAAGGGTTGTAGCTCAAGGTGTGCGATCACTGCCTCCTCGGTCTATCTCGTTCCAGCCTGGGACGATTGGAGCACACGTAGCAACAATGCTGAGAATATTGAAATCCGAAATTTTGAACGGATTTTCGCGCCGAGGCGCCGTGGAAATTAAGTCATTGGATGCAGGATCTGCATCGGAACCCAATTCGTGTCTTGCAATGTACCAGGGATGCTTGACGAGTCATCTGCATTCATGTTTGTTCGCTGATAAAGGAGAGCGGAGGATGGTCAATGTGCCGCTATTGGTAGTCCTCCTTGGACCCCACAATGCACCGACTCAAACTGGACATGCTGCTTCATCAAAGGTGGTAATTCTCAAAGCTTTTCGGTATATCTTAGGTCAAAGTTTGATGGATTTCAAGTCGCGAGCAGCAAGTGACCTATTGATAGACGACAAAGAAGAAAAGCGTCCCCGGCAGAGTGTTAGCCGCAGCACAGCTGCAA